TGACTCCAGGTCCAGGGGATCTGAAGCCCTCTTCTCACCTACATAGAGAAACACATGTCAACACAAAAATTAAAAATAAACCCTAAAAACAGAGATACATTCCAGTAGGGCTTGAAGTTTGAGGGTACAGCTCAGGGTCAGATCACTGGCTTAGTATCTGTCAGGCCCTGGGATCCGTTCTGTGTACAAGTTTCACATACAAAAAAGAAACAGAAGAAAGCTGGAGTCATAGTTCAGCGGAAGAGTGCACATGAAGCAGGTGTGGACACTGGCTTCTGTCCCTAGTGTTAGCAAAAAATGTCCCTCAGGGGCTGGAGAGCTGGCTCAGCAGTTAGGAGCACTGGCTGCTCTTATAGAGAACTGAGGTTCAGTTCCCCACACCCATGTGGCAGCTAACAATTGCCAGTAACTCCAGTTCCAGGGGATCTGACACCCTCTTCTGACCTCTTCGGGGTTGCATGCATATGGTGTACATACATGCAGGCCAAACGCTCATACACAAAAAAATAAGATAAAGGAAAAATGAATTTAAAATGGGAAAAGGATACTGAATGCCTCAGAAGGGCAGGGGATTTGTTTGTCTGTTTGTTGAGACAGGGTATCTGCAGACCAGGCAGAACTCAAACTGAAGGCAATCCTCCTGTCTCAGCCTCTGGAATTGACAGTGAAACTTTGATGACGCCTAAAGACTTTTATTTCCTCTAATATACACTAATATATAATTTTCTGTCTTACCTTTTACTATCTTGTAATTGTCTTCCTGGTTAAACAAAATGAATTTTTAAATCATGATTTGGGATTCAATTTGCTAAATGCCTTAAGACTTTCAACAGGCTGGGTATGCTGATGCAGCGATTTAATTCCAACAGTCACGAGGCAGGGGCAGGCAGATCTCTGTGAGTTTGAGGTCAGTCTGATCTACATAGCAACTTCCAGGCCAGCCAGTACTACATAATGAATCCCTGTCTCAATAAAAATAAAACACCTTTGGAAAAATTTTATATAGCCCCACACTCATCTGGAATTCACTGTGTAACCCAGACTGGCTAGAGCTTCCTGTAATTCTCTTGCCTCACCGTCCTGAATGCATGCTCGGGTCACAGGGGAAAGCTCGACTGCAACTCCCTCCCTCATTTTTAACAGTGATGGGCTTCAGCTGTCCTTAAACTACTTACCTTTGAACGCACGTCTATCCCTCCATTTCTGTAATCCTCCTGCCTCAGCTTCGTAAGTGCCGGGATCACAGATATGACCATGTCTGGCTTCATTCAAATTATTTTGATTTCTTCATTGGTTTGTGTCATAGTAATTTTTTTTTTCCAGCTAGACATGGTGGCACAGGCCTGTAATTCCAACCCTCTGGTGACTGAGGCTGAGGATCATGAGTCAGTGGTTAACCTGGTCTACATAGGCAATCTCTGCCTAAAGAAATGGAAACATATATTTCTGTGCTAGTGATTCTGTTGTTATTGGAGACAGGGTCTCACGTAACCCAGGATGGACTTGAATTTCCAGTGGAATTGGGAATAATTTGAATTTCTGATCTTCCTACCTCTTCCTCCCTACTGCAGGGATTACAGGTGTGGGCCACCGTACATCATTTATTCAGGGCTGGAGACTCAACCTGGGCTTTATGCACACACCACCGATTGAGCTCCTTCCATCACTGAGCGCTTGTTGATTTGAAACTCTGTACTCTGAATGTAACAGCCTTTACCATCTTAATCAGAGCTCTGTGACCCTTAAAAGATAGGGCTGATTCCCATTCTCTAGTAGAAGAATGGAGTTGGGAGGGTCATTATATCCTTACCTGAGCCCTTTTCTGTGCCTCTCCTCCCAGCTGTATGTAATTCTGCCCCAAGTGCCCCCGTTCTCAGAAGGCACTAGACTATATAGGTGATGGCAGGTTAGCTGACCTGACAGAAGGACTCCATTGACAAAACTCTAGGGAAATTATCACCCAGGATTGAGACCTTTTGATGTGAGTATATTCAGGTTACCCATGGTCCTGTAAGTAACTGCCCACCAATTCTCCTGAAACTAAGCCCAGTAAACTCTCTGTTTCATCAAGCTAGACATGGGTGAGGCCATTACTTTGATCTGTTGCTGGAGCCCTGTCTGAAGCCCTATCTGAAGTGTCTCCCTGGGCAGTGTTCACTAGACAGGATTGAACTCGGTCTTAAAATTGCTAGGTAATTGTTCTACCCACTGAGCTACATCCCCAACTGATAATTTTCCAACTAAAGATTTTTTTTTTGGTTGTACTTGTTTGTTATTGGTTTATTTCTTTTAAGATGCATCCTTATTTTGTAATCCAGGGTGAGATAGAAATCACAGGGATTCTCTTGCCTCAGCCTCTCAAAAGTTGGGATTATAGGTGTGAGCCACCAAGCCTGGCTTGGAGCTCTCATTTTATTTAATTTTATTTTTTTAATTTTTATTATTTTTATTTTATGTATATGAGTGTATTGCCTGCATGTATGTGAGTGCACCCGTGTTGTGCAATGCCTCGAAGGTCAGAAGAGGGCTTTGGATTCCCCAGGAACTGGAGTCAAGGACGGTTTGTAGCTGCCATGTGGGTGCTGGGAATTGAACTTGGGTCCTCTGCAAGAGCAGTCAGTGCTCTTCTTAACCACTGAGCCATCTCTCCAGCCCCAGGGGCTCTCATTTTAAATGTACTTGCATGTTTTCATTTTTGTCGTTGGAGACAGACTCTAAGGTAGCTCACCTTAGCCTTGAACTCACTATATAGTATGACCTTGAACTTTGAATCCTCCTGCCTCTACCTCCCAAGTTCTGGGATAACAGGCCTGGGCCAACACACTGGGTTCTTGGAGCTCACAATGTAGCCCAAGGTGGTTGGATTCTCCTGGAGCGCCTCTTCCCTCAGATCGTGAGTCCTAACATGACAAGTGTAAACCAGAACTCTGGGATTACAGGAACGTTTATTTTTTCTCAGAAATTCTTTCCTTGACTTTTAAAATATTGAGTTGGGGACTTGGGGGCGCAGCTTACCAGTTAACAACGTTCCTAGCACGCCTGACACTCAGCATTCTGTTCGCAGTACCACAAATGAAGTAATCAGAATATCTGTGTCAAAGATTTTCTCCTGTGGGGTTGGTGAGATAGCTCGGTGGGTAAAAAGGCACTGCTGCTGCCAAGCCTAAAATCTGAAGTTTGATCTCCCAGCCCACACACACTAATTAATTAGCTAAAATTTAAAAGATTTTCACTGTGTGTTGGCACACTCCTTTAATTCCAGAACTAGGGAGTCAACGGCAGGAGTACTTATGTGTTTGAGGCCAGCCAGCCTGCTATACAAAATGAGTTCTAGGCCAGCCAGGGCAGCATAGTGAGACTGTCTCAAAACAACACGCTGGTGGCTCATGCTGAGGCAGGAGGATTGGCATTTCATATATAATAACGAACATTACAGTGTTTCCTCAACAAAAATTTACCAAGAGAACCAGCACCAGCAGAGGGACAGCTTGCAGTGTCAGTGTGACTGAAACCCGATGCAGATCCAGAGTGTTTGCTGCTGATGGGAGGAGGGAGCTTTTTCTTATTGAAGAAAAAAATAGTGTATATGAAAAGGATGTGTGCACAGAAATAAAATGATTAGCATATATTCCCTTAAATTGTGCTCTAAAGATTCTATCGTTCTGAGAGATAGCAAATTATGATTCTGTTTTTTTGGGGGGGGGCTTTTTGAGACAGGGTCTCCCTGTAGCCCCAGCTGTCCTGGAACTCACTATGTAGACCAGGCTGGCCTTGAACTCACAGAGATCCGCCTGCCTCTGCCTTGAGTGCTGGGATTAAAGGCGTGTGCCACCACGCCCGGCTTTTATTTACTATTTTTATTTTATATGTTTTTTAATTTTATTTTATGTGTACGCATGTATTACCTGCATGTAGGGAAGTGAACCCATGTCGTGCAGTTCCCTCAGAAGACAGAAGAGGCTGTTGGATCCCCTGGAACTGGAGTTATGGACAGTTGTTAGCTGCCATGTGGGTGCTGGGATTCGAACCCAGGTCTTCTGCAAAAACAATCAGTGTTTTTAACTGCTGAGCCCTCTCCAGCCCTGATTCTGGTTTTTTATAGCAACTAGAATTTTATTTATTTTTTGTTTTGTTTTTAAAAATTGTATTGATTCAAGAATGTCATACAATGCATTTGATCATATTCAGGCCTCCTCCCCCATCTCCACCCTAACCTTACCATCCCCCCCGACCCCTTACCCCCCCATCTACCTCTAAACCCTAAGGGAAAACCCCATCCATGCTACCTAACACAGCTGAACTGGTTGCATGTACGCACCGGGGCTGGGAATAACTGATTCTTGTCTGTTGGATACAGGGTCTCATATATCCCAGAGCAGCCTCTAAATTGCTCTGTCATAACTGAGGCTGCTCTGATCCTTCTACATTTGAAGTGCTGGGTTCCCAGACCTGTGCCAACACTCTGAGCATGATTTCCTTTCTCTAGCTTATTGGTGTCATCTTACTTTTCCCTGTAACCTGTATCAAGCTGGCCTCCAACTTAAGGCAATTCTTCTGTCTCTGCCTCTTAACTTTGACCTCTCCTGAGTGCTGGGGTGACAGGTGTGTGCCAGCCTAATGTCCCAGAGACATTAGGGTCTTCAGTGCAACAAATGTCCCCCAGGAGGTGGAGTTTCGCTTCCAGAATCCTCTGGACTTACTTCCCAGTGGGAATGGAAGCCAGTGTCAGAATGATTGAAGTTGGGCTGAAACGAGGCAGATTGATGCCACTGATGCTTTAAAGATGATAGTCTGGACCAGGAGGGGCTAAGGCTTTGGGTTAGAGGGCACACTGTGGAATGGGCTAAACTGAGGTCTCTTCCATCACTTCCAGAGCAGGGACTATGGTTGTGAGTTAGTTCCTGTGAGGGGTGAGAGAGGGTCTTTAAGATGGACATGAAAGGATGGATGTCTTTTGCTGGATGTGTTCCCAGGATCCTTTTCTCTGAAGAACCAACAGAATGAGCTCCCAGACCCCACCCACACTCCAGGAGCTGGCAAGGCTGAGCCTGATGAGGGATGAGGCCTTATTCATCTCTGCCCTGAAAGACCTGCCTTTAGTGCACTTTCCACCACTTTTCAAAGAGGTTTTCAACCAGACACGGACTGAGATCCTGAGAGTCATGGTTCAGGAGTGGCCCTTCCCCTGCCTCCCTTTGGGGGCCCTGATGAAGGACTGGAAAACACCTGATTGGAGATTACACACTATCCTGGGAGCGATTGACATGGTGCTTCTCCAGAAGGTTCACCCCAGGTGAGGGACTCGGGCGCTCTGAACGAAGGTCCTGGGAATGAAAAGAAGAGACAGCTGGGGTGGAGTGCAATGGGGGAGGGGTGGAAATGGGGGAGGGGTGGAAAGGCTTCTGATGGCACAGGCTTGAGAACTGCGAGAGCTTTGGACATTGCTGAGCCATCTGGGAAAGGGTTGTGGAGAGCGCAGGACTTCCCATGGCAGATTCAGCAGTGACTGAAGGACCTGCCCCAGACTCCTCACACCCACAAGGAGTGGGACTAGCTGGGTCTAAGGAGAAGGGCTTGGAGGAAAGTAAGACACAGAGAATGGCATGGGAAATTCTGGGCTGGAATGAGGACAGTGGCAGGATGTTGGAGCCTTCCCTTGATGCTGAGGTTCTTTCTTGTTTTAACCACAGGAGGTACAAACTGGAATTACTGGACTTAAGGACCTTGGATTCAGACTTCTGGGATACTTGGTATGGAGCCACAGCTATGGGCTGGTCATCATGGAGGAGATCTGAGACTCGAGCAGCTGCATGCCGTTCCAGGACAGGGTTGAAGTGGCCCTTCAAGGTGGTGATAGATCTGGACCTCACAACAAACCTGAGTAGGCTTACAACCTATATCTTTGAGTGGGTGGATCAGAGGAAAGCTTCAGTACATCTCTACTGTTGCCAGCTGAAAATCAGGGAGCCATCCTTTCCCGACCGCAGAAAGATCTTGCAGATGTTTTATCTCTATTACACCCAAGAACTGCATTTGCGTTCTGTCTCTTTCCCATGCTCCCTAATCAACTTTTCTCCTTACATGGGCTGCATGAGGCGCCTGCGCAAGCTTTTCCTCACTGAAATCTGGGAAAATGACTTTATGATTGTAAAGATGAGACAGAAGATCATCACCCAGTTCACCTTGGAGTTCCTTAATATGGAGTGCCTCCAGGAGCTGCATGTGAATACTGTCCCCTTCCTAGAAGGCCACCTGGCTGAGATGCTCAGGTAAGAAAGGATGGTTCGCTTTCTCTGCAGAGGGAAGCAAAGCTTTGTTCCACTAGATGTTACTGGGCACCTTCTCTCTGCAGCTCACTGTGGACCAAGAGGGAAGGATGTATTAGAAGGGCAGGGATTGTTCTATTTCTGCTCTCTCCCAAAGAGATGCTCATGTAACCACCAATACAAAGGAATAGAGCTAAATTGGGATTGATGGCCTGAGAAGAGGTACCATGCTGCAAAGCCAGCACAGGAATGAGTCTAATGAGACTGGGTTCTGATTTCCTTCTTAGCAAATGTGTCTAAACTAATGTAAACAGATGGAGGAGGGAAGGAGAAGAGGGCACTGAAGGGCAAAGCCTTTCACACCTGCATAGTTCCCTCTGTGCACAGCCTGCCTCCAGTTCTCCATCAGGGAGAGGCTATTTTTTTGAGATGAGGTCTTCTAGGCAGCACAGGTTCAGCCTGGACTCTCTTAATCCTCTTGCCTCAGCTCCCTTGTGTTGGCATTACCTGTGT